CCGAAACCATTTTTAATGATGATAATTCTTATACAATTAAAGATCGTCATGGGTATGTATCATCCTTTTATTTTTTTAAATTTATATTGTAACATTTTTATTTATTTTATTATCATTTGATAGTATCCGGTTGGTATTTCAACAATATGGACAAATTGGTGTATTTGATTTTATGGCTTTATTGACGAATTTAGTAGCAGCTCTTGCTTTATTCGTAAGTTCTTTCTTCATCTTTTTCTTTTCGCATATTAATTTGATCGATCTAATGAATTAATTAATTCTCTTTCTTTTGTTGAATGATTGACAAAAACAGAAAGTTGCAACTTTCCTTGTTGAATTATTAATGTTGAGATTTTTGCCTCAAAAGGACCAATATGAACAATTTAAATTCGAAAAAACTCTTGATTTTAGTGATATACGTAAAGGTACAAGTGATAAAGGTTCGGTTAATAGTGCTTAGAAGTTAGTTACACGTTTTCTTTTTTTTTCTTTTTGGAAATTATTATGAGTCATATAAAGTTGGTAATTAAATGGTTGAATTGAGATGGTCGATTCGTTATTTTCTTCACCATGTTGTAATATTCTACACTTTAATTTTTCATTAAAAAAAATATTATACTAGCATTAATTAGAACAAATAAATTAATAAAAATTTATATTTAGAGCATTACGAATTAAACCAATGAATGCATTACTGAATGTGATCATTATACAGAAATCGAGAATGGACGTAAGGAAAGGGTAAAAAAAAACTAATATTCTTTCATATAAATTGTTTTTTTTTATTATTGGCAGAAAAGATACCAAATTAGATAATGGCACAGTATTTTATCGTCGATTAACACACCTTCGATTAAAAGTTGGTTAAAGTATTGATGTAATTAAAACCGTGAGTGGATGAATGACATCATGATTATAAATATTATATACAGTGGTGTGCAAAAAAAATGACAATTTTTAAAATTACGATAGTTACACAACCACTTTATCAATCGAAGCGTACAATA